GCGCCCTGCAGGTGGAGGAGGCCGCTCCTCGTTTGGCCTGATGTTTGCTTGTCTCGCGAGTTGGAGAAACTGGAGGAGGAGGGGGAGGAGGAGGAGGAGGAGGAGGAGGAGGAGGAGGAGGAGGACGAGGACGAGGAGGAGGACGAGAACGAGACAGCTGACGTTCTCGCGAGGTGGAGGGGAGGAGGAGGAGGAGGAAGGACTGCCAGGACGAGAACGAGGAGTAGGAGCAGGAGTAGGAGGAGGAGGAGGAGGAGGAGGAGGAGGAGGAGGAGAAGGAGGAGGAGGAGGAGGAGGAGGAGAAGGCGGAGGAAAGCTTCAGACTCGCCGAGCCGCGGCCACTCGCCGCGCGGGCGCTCCCCGGCGAGCGCAGCGATGGCGGCGGATGCGCCGACGCCGCCGCACGAAGGCCAGCTGGCGGGCGGCGCGCGCGCGCCAGTGCGCCTGAGCCTATACGACCTGGACGGGTGCACTGGCTGGCTGCTGAACGGGAAGAACGGCTCCTCGCCACAGAGAAATTCGGTAGGAAATCATGGGAGCCGAGTGTACCCTCCGAGATCCGTCTTTAGCGTCGAGTAGCGTCTGGGAGTGGATGGGACAGAGCCGTTTTAGCGTCGACTAGCGTCGATGTTGCGTCCATTGCGTCGATTCAGCGTCGACTAGCGTCGATTCGAAAGAGCCGACAAGATGGTATGGGAGGCTCCCATGAGTTGCTGCCGAAGAGAAAGCTGCAGAACTGCACGATGAAAGAAGCATAGCACTTCGGAGGTCCGCGCAGATCTCTCGCATCGGCTCTGGGCCCCCCCTCCCTGGCGCGCGGAGCGCGCCAGGGGCGGCGCCGGAGACGCCGCCAGGGAAGTCCAGCGCCGATCCAAGAAATCAGCGCGGACATCCGAGTTCCTCCCCAATCAGTGCTTGCACTGAAGGGGTCCTAGCGGATATTGAAAGATTTGGCGAAAGTTTCCCGCCGATTTCAATGGCCGGCTGGGTTCCTGGGTTCCCGGTTCCGGGTTCCGGAGTCCTGGTCATTGGTTTTGGGCCGATTTCGGTGGGTCCCAGGTTCCCGGTTTCCCGGTCGATCTCCTCATCGATCGTTTGATCAATCCCACGTCAAACCGTCCATCGATTGGGGTTTTCCTATGTCGTCGGTCCTCGACAAAAGAAGGTCCTGAGATCGTCAGAGGAGGGCGAGCTGAGACGAGGATAGTTGGCCTTCGGGGAGGGTCCTCGTCGCCGCCGCTGGGCGCAGCTCGGAGGGCTGGTTCTGTTGGAGTCCATATAGGATTAACTCGGGCCTGTCCCTCTGCAGGAGGAATATTCAAAAGTAGTTTAAAAAATAGTCTGGGGACGATTGTGCGACTATTTTTTGATATGTTTGCGTATGATTCGACTAATTTTTACGTTTCTTCCTAAATCCGCCTGTAGGGAGACATTCCCGACCTAAATCTAAGCCTCTGAGATGGGGTCGGAGTAGGGTCGGGGTATCGCGCCGCATCGCCGATGCGTCGGCGATGCATCGGTGATGCGGCTCGATGTGGGGCACAATTTTAGCCACGCCGACGTCGCCGATGCATCGTCGATGCATCACCGATGCATCGCCGATGCATCGCCGATGTATCGGCGATGCGGCGCGATCCTCCGACCCCATCCACTCCGACCCCATCTAGGAGGCTTCTAGTGTCCAGGACCCTTTTCCTTGATGCCAAGGTTCACGTGCCCGGTGGACCGGCCTGGGGCTCTTCCATTGCGCCATCGAGGTGCACGACTGGGAGTTCGCCTTCGTGTATTATTGGGACTGCTGGGAGTCCGACCAGGTCACGGGAGTCATCCGGTCGCCGCCGCGGCAGGACCCTACGTTCGGGGTCGGCTTCCGAGGCTCCCTGGAGCTGGGCAGCACCCGGAGGTCGCCGGCGGAAGTCACGGCCATGCTCCAGGACCTCGGCGGGGAGTGGAGGTCTTCGGTAACAAATCATGGAAGCCCTGTATACCTTATTGATTGCATATGCGTCGATTAGCGTCTGGGAGTCGATGCGATAGCGCCGATCCAGCGTCGATCTACCGTCGAGTGGCGTCGATTCAGCGTCGATGAGCGTCGATTCGCAAGTGCCGACAAGATGGTAAGGGAGGCTCCCATGAGTTGACACCGAAGAGGTCGAACAGGTACCACCTGATCAGGCGCAACTGCGTCACCTTCTGCGAGGAGCTGGCGGGCCTCCTCGAGGTCCAGTTAAGTCTGGCGTGTCCCTCTATAGGAGGAATATTCAAGACTAGTCACAAAATAGTCTGGGGACGATGTTTCAAGTAATTTTGACTATTGTTGAGCATGTCTTGTTGATTACCTAACAGCGAAGACTGATAGGTTTCTAGTAGGCTAAAAAGAGGTCACAGATCACTCCACAGGGGGGTCCGGGCAGGTGTTGGGAGTTGCCGGGCGGGTTGTGCCCACCTCGTTTTTCACCAACAGTCACACACTTCGTGCTCTTCGACTTCCCCAGAACTC